AAGTTGTCGGATCCCACACGGCCCCTTTCACGGCCGAGCATGAACCTGGCAGCTGGAGAATGACAGTGGGCTCATTTGAGTGCATGCCCAAAATCCTGAGAGGAGAAGGGATTGTAGTGTGGCCATCCCCCCGGGGGATAATTTCTCATTTTTCCTTTCTCTCTCTGGCAAGCGCACACAACCTATAGCAAATACAAAAACAAAGGCAAAACAAAACAAACAAAAAAGCAATGAAATCTTGCAAAACCTTCTGACTATATACCTCCAAAAGGAATGTCCACATTAAAACAGGAACAAAACAAGGAGCTCAAAGTATTTGTCAGATCATAGTATTAAATGTCACTTCTGAGAATTAATGAACAGAACTAGACACCTAAGAAAGGTATTTCCTCAGTTAATGTGAAATCTTATTTAAAAAAAAATTACAGTATTTTTAAAAGATAAAATATAGAGACTTAATGACAAATAAGGTATGTCTCATAATTATGAAGTCTTATAAGATGCCGAGGAGAACCTGGTTCAGAGTTCTACTGACTCCCTGGACAGGATGACAGAGGTCCAGCTCTGCTGCTTTGTGGAGTGCAGGAGAGGCCAAGCACCTCACAGTGGCCAGAGGGGCTTACATCGGCCGGGCAAGGGTTCATGCTCACCATCAGGGGATGTCATTCACAGCAGCTGTGAGGTCTCACACTCTGTAGTAACAGAGGACCCTTACCTGACACGGCATGATTCTAAGTTAATGCTACTAAAATCATAACTGTACAGCTCCTCAAAGTCCTTTCCACACCCTGAAACTAACAAGTTCATCTTATCTACATTACAGCCACACTAGTAAAAAAACCAAGCACAACTTCTCTGTAGAGCAATACTTTTACTTAATGGGAGATATTTAAAAGGTGGCTTTCTAGGCAGGTTTACGTATTTTGATAGATATCTGGGTCTTTTTTTTTAAATCTGTATTCTTCATGCTCTTAACCAGAAGTTAACTGCTTTTTCTTTCCAAATATGAAATGTTAAACCAAATCCTAATTATGTCAGGGCCCCAAATTACTAAAGTAATTTACCGAACCAACTGCATGACCTTGGGAAGTCACTGCTTGTAAAATGAGAGGCTTGGACCAAGCTCCTCTAGAATGTAAACTCCATGTTCTGCTCACCCCCCTACCCCCTGCCCTGAGACCTGGAAGGCATTAAATGTTGACTGAGTGAGAGAACCACTGCTGTTCTCAAACTGCGAACGTAAACTTAATCATGTTCCCTTTTTAAGCCAATCGGATTTCATCTCATGTATTCCTGAAGGTTTTTAAAAGGACACTGAAAGTGAAATGCCCTATGCAGCAAAAGGAAATTTAGATAATTAAAATAAGATAATCAGTTTTCAGAAATAAAAAGTGTAAATTCTTTAATAACTCAATAATTCTCCAAATATTCATGCAGCTTTTAAAATTTTCTACTTTCCATTCTTCTATTTAACTCATTATTGTGTCCTAGTTCTTTTTCCTTCCAATAAGAGGCAGCTGGTAGGAAGAAATTACATAGGGCTCACAGTGAGAAGTCCTGAGTTCTGGCCCCAGTTCTTCTTCTTCTTCTTTTTTTTGAGAGGTTTTTGCTATAAGGCACGTGCACTCGCCAGACAGAGAGAGACAGAGAGACAGAAAGCGAGAAATCACCCCCCAGGGGGGATGATCACGCTGTAATCCCTTCTTCTCCATTCTCCTCTCGGGATCTTGGGCACGCACGCACATGCGCCCGGCATGAGTTTTAAGCCACCGGGTCCGGGACTCGAACTGCGGTAGACTACGTGGGAGTCCAGAGACATAGCCATTACTCTAACTGCTGGTCCCTTCTTTTTTTTTTAAAGAATTATTTTTTAACTTTTATTTTTATTTATTTATTTATTTTTAAAAATTGACCACGGGGGGAGAAAGAGAGGGAAAGTGAGAAAGCAAGCTGCTAGGTCGAGGACTCGAACTGTGGTCAGTCATGTGGGAGTCTGGCACCCTTAATGACACGCCACCTGCCAGCCCCAAAGAATTATTTTATTTAACTTTATCTATTTTCATTTGACCAGAGAGAGACAGAGAGACACACAGAGAGAGACAGAAAGTGAGAAAGCAAGCCAAAGCAAGCCATCAGGTCCAGGAGTTGAACTGCAGACAGCTATGTGGGAGTCCAGCATCCTTAACCACAACACTATCTGCCAGCCTGGCCCAACCTCTTCTATTAATTGGCTCTGTGGGAACAGGCCATTTCCCCTTTGGGGCTTGAAAGGCTGCATGCATAAAACAAGAGAGCTGAACTGATTATTAATTTCTAAAGCCTTCTACTTTAAAAAAATCTATAATTCTCTCTTTTAATTTAACCTTACTTACTTATTTATTTAAATAGGGACAGAGTGAGAGAGAGAGCAAGTGAGAAAGCAAGCTACCAGGTCTAGGACTCGAACCATGGTCAGCCATGTTAGAGTCCAGCACCCTTAACCACCACACCACCTGCCGGCCCCATGATTCCCCTTTTATTCTACCCATTATTCTGTTCCTAGTGTCTAGATTCAGTGCTCATCACATCTTTCTACACTTGCATGGTACTGTCAAATTTCCTCTTTCCCCCTTTCGTTTTCCACACTGCTATCAAATGAATGGAACTCTAAAACCATGAGTTGACTAGAGTGAAAAGTGTATTGGCTTTGATGTCAGAGACCTGGATTCAAATTCAGCACCTGCCACTACGGGGTTGTTAAATAAAATGTGAGCCCTGCTCACAGTGTAGACAGTCAACAATAAATAGTTCCTTCCCTTATTTCCCAAGATCAAAAGCCTCCATTTTCCACAGCACACAGCAAGAATGGTCAATAAGCTGCCCAGGCAGCATACATGGAAATGTCTCACGACCGCAGAGACCCTCCACTGGTTAAACACCGCCTTCTATGTATCACCAAGAGTTGGCCTGCACTTCAGCTTCATGGGTGAAACAGCCTCAGTCCCAGTTCTCTTGAACTCTCAAAGCAGTGCAGCCTCCCCTAGGCCGAACCCCCAGGTCACGAGGAAATGAGAACTTGCCACCCTGCCTCAGCGAGTCAGAAACCTCTGGATTTTCCCTGCAAAGCAAAGTCCCCAGACTGCCATTCACAGGAAAAGCAGCCACTCCCAGTACTTTGTACATACATGTACAGGCAGTCAGCTAACGTGACCACCAACAATTAGAATTTCATTTTTCAGTTACAGGAAATTAAAAGATGTGACCAAAAAGAGAATATAATAGCTCATGTAATGAGGATATATTGAGCTTTAGTGAAGTTATACAAACATCTTCAGAGAGAGCAGTGGCTTTCTTCTTGATTTCAAAACTGGGTCAAAACTGGAAGGAACGTGGAGGCAGAAGTGAAGGGGACTGCCAGGAGACACTCAATGCTTAAAGCGGCTTCAGTTACTTAGGACATGCATGGGAATTTTAGAAATTCCCAACCTAGGACTAATTACAACTTTGCCATCCATACGCTAGTCAACAAGATAGTTAAGTTACTGGGTACCTATTGCAGCAAGTGTGTGAAAGTGTGGAAACCAAAGAAATCTTATGTAGAAACATGTCTTTTTTTTTTTTTTCATTCTTGGAGTGCTACCTTTTTGCCCAAGCTACTTCAGCCCAAGCAACTGCTGCAAACACATGCAATAAAAGGTTCGCACATTACCCAGGGAAAATTCTTTCAGAAAGCTTGGTTTCATGAAGAATGATCCAAATTCATGTTTATCTAAAAAAACACATCCACTAATTTGAGATCTGTGTCCTTCTCTGGTCCGTACAACCAGCTCCACTGACCCCTAAACGATTCTACCCGAGGACTCTGACCAGAATTCTACCCTGGGCTGCCATTTTTCTGCAGAGTAATTGTCTAAAAGCGCTGTTGCTTCTGGTAGATCTTTTTATTGTAGTAAAAGTCCATTTTCTTCCCCCATGTTCCTCGCTCACACCCCAAACTAAACAGACCTAGTTCTCCTCCTAGACTTGAGATCTATGATCAAATCCGTTAGCCTCAACAGAAGACTCCCCCGCTCCCCTTGGCCTCCCACTCTGTTCCCTACTCTCCGCAGACCGTCTTCACGACAGTTGCTTCCCCCGTCTAGTTTTCCCTTCCTTCTAACCAGTGCCTCCCTCCTCCTGGCTTGGTTCCGGCCTCATCCTCTAATTCCAGCCCCAACCCCTGCCCAGGTCTCTTTTCTCTATGCTCTTCAAGTTCAATCCTCACTGCTTCAACACTTGACCTTACAAAGCCTGATCCCTGCAACCCAGGCTTTACTGCAGCGGTGCCCTGTCCCAGGGCACGTCAATGCCTGTCATTCCTGGCCCCTGCCCAGTCCCTCTTCATTTCAGACCCTGTTCAGTGTCGCCTCTTTCTGACCCTCCTTTAAGTTCCACACCCCACCCCTAGCGCCCACAGACTTCTGACCCCAGCGAAGACCACTACTCTGGCTGGCCCATCCCACTTGTTCTCACTCTGAACCTGACGCCTTCCCCAGTCCCTCGGCGAGACCTGCAGCGATGAAATCTCTGACCTAGCCTGGTCCATTAGCCTGGTTCCCCCTTCCTAACCCGTGATCCACGTGTCCTCCCCACCACATGTTCCAGGCTACGGCATCTGTCTTCTCTCACCTCGAACGCTAGCCCTCGTCCTGCTCCCTACCCCCGACCCCGGCCCAGCCCGCAGTGCCCTAGCTCTAGTCCCAAAGTCTAGGGAACCCCTCCCTATCTCGACCCATGGCCCTGCCCCACAGCCCTAACTTCCATTCGGACCCTCCCCTAAGGTCCCTCACCCCACCTGACCCCAGACAGTGGCTTCTGTCCCCGACTGGAGCCTGACGCTCCGATCTTTCCCTCTCCGGGCCCCCATGACAGTTCCCGAGGCGTATTCCCTCCCACTGCAAGCGCAGTGGGGTGTGTCCCCTCCCCACGGAGCGCCCCCCCGGTGGCCTCTCCCGCGGGGCTCAGGGCTCGCCCCTCCTCACCTCCGCGTCCACCACCTCGTGGTAGGCGGGCGGGGGGTCGAAG